ATCTTACAGTTTTGTTAATATTCACGTAAACAGGATCTTGCGTTTATTGACTTTAGTTCATGGGCTGTTTAATTCAATCTTCAGTTCAATGACTGAATCCGAGGCAGAGCTATGAAAACCGCTAGGCAGATCTTGTGACTATAGGCTGCATATCAGTCCGATTCAGGACAATTTCTCTAGGCAACTGCTCACTAGCAAACAAATGCTAACCAGCAAATTGCTAGATTATCGGCACCCAGCTCAACTCTCTGTACCTATTGAAAGGGTAAACAGACACTGCATTCGTGATGAGACGCATATAGAACACACGACAAAGCTAACTACATATGTCCATGACCCGAATGAGCTCAATCTTTTTTCGTCATCGTGGTCTGGCATCTATGACTTCACAATGGCCGTCCTAAAATGAGCCATGGCTCTATACCAGCAGCCCTTTAAGTGATTAACATAACTGCCGCATTATTTCACTTGGTCACTAATCATCCCCTGATCTGATCCCTTGCTCACGTTCACTACCAATTCTGTGTTGCGTAACATTCATGAACATAACGAAAAATCACACGCTTTGAGAACATGGCACATGAGGTGAATCGATACTAGCCGTTTTCACGACGGGCTATCTAGCGAGTGCACCTTATTTGACCAAATCTGCACCTAATCTCTTTTACAGCAAATATCTGTATTTTATGAATTTATTTCAGTGTTTTAATCGATGATACTCTCTGATAATATGGCAAAGCAGGCATATAAGCAAATAGTGCAACCCTAGCTGATAGCTACTAAGAGACACACTGAACCTAATTTGACCACATTTGCACCTAATCTGCACCAGATGAGCACCAAATGTGTACCAGATGGCCGTCGTGAAAACGGCTACTGTATGACAAAATGAAATGATTCAATAGCTTCTGTCCTATAAGGTCTGCTGCACCTGGGTTGCGTAACGTTTTCTCACATTGCACGGACCTCATCTCCCATACATCAGAGCCTCCATCAGCAGATCCGGGGAGCTGCTCCAATTGGTGACCTGGAGGAGGGAAGGGGAAGGGGAGGGGAAGCATGGTGCTCCGATTCGAGGCCCTCCAGACCATCCAGCGTCTCCCGTCACTGGCCACGCCCCTGTGACGCAATACCCCAGCGCTGATTGGTCGGTTTGCGTGGGACCATGTGGGGGGAGGAGAGGGGAGGGGAGGGGAGGACTCGAGAGGGCAGCTAGCGTGGGAGACGGCCAGATGCCAGTGCCGGCAGGAAAAGCCGGGAAGAATATGGAGCCATCACACCGTGTTAGCGACAGTTGACCAGTCACACTCTAATCTCAAATGTTTCCTGTTCTTAAGAATATCGAAATGGAGAGATTCTCTATCATCGATCATTAGTCACATATACAGTGCCTACATAGTACATATGCAGTACATATGACCTACGTTTGTTCTACGAGTAGGTAAATGGATGCAAAAATGACGCTAATGCTTGAAGTGAAGTGAAGATACAAAACAAAATTGAGGATAAAATGAAGGGGAGCCTGATACGTTTTAGAATATGCTATTATTCCATCGCTGTCATGCTTCATTTTCATATTTCCCCACGGCATCAAGGCAACAGCGTTTAACACCAACCAGACCTACCCGAAAAAGCAAAAAGGAAGCTACACAAACTACCTTGTACTCTAGGAAGATTTCCAGTCTTGACAGATCATCCATGAATTTTACAGCTTTGCTGGTACACACAAATGAAAAAAGAGCAACATAACTGTTTCAGAACACGCATTATCGAGGTTACTTCCGAGAGAACAAACCGCAAGGATAAGCTACACACCCAAACCTCCCGCACCAGGTAAAAGTTCAACGTTTTGTGATAACGTAACCCAACGCACCGCTCCATGTTAGCCAGGGCTCGCGGTGGGCACCGGAGCACGCCCCATCCGGCGCACAACTCGGAGAAGGCCGCGACTCCGGCGGGGCTCAGCGGCGGGATCCCGCTGGTTCTACATGCGCTAATCGTGTCAGACTGGTTCCAGCTCTCGGACACCTATCCAGATCACCTGGGTGGCGTCACACAGCACGCAGCAGGCCGTATATAAGACAGACAGAGCTCTGCTTAGGCACCATTCTACATCGGACCGACCGACCTGCCACCGACATGAAGCTCGTAAGCAGCCGGGGCGAGGGGAGCGGCCGTATGTCGGCCGCCAGTGGTGAAAACGCACAGTGTGGCGAGCTGAGACCTCATCTGGGACTGAACGGTGGCAGCTGCAACGGCTGGACTGTGATCTATGGATCTATTTGCAATCTGGCATTCATCGGGATAATTTTTCAAGGTGCTGGATTTCAAGAGGACTCCTGCATTGCTAGGCTTACAAAATTTATCCATTCATAGTTCAGGTTGCATATGAATATTTCTTAAATGCGTTGCCGGGAATCGTAAAAGTGCATCAACAAGTGTCAGAGATGAGCGTTCAGTGTCTGATGCAGATTTTGTCTTTATCCACAGCTGATCGTGCTGTGCCTGGCCGCCGTGGCTCTGGCCCGGCCCCAGAGTGAGAGGGACGCCCAGATCATCCTGTACGACCACGAGCTGAGGGAGGACCAGTCCTGGGATACCGCGTGAGTACCACTCAATGACAGACACGCAGAAGAAATTATCGCAAGTCTTCTTATATGTAAGAAGCTACCTTGTAAGGTTGACACAAAAACCTTCATTCATTCTCGTAAATGATATAACAAGAGAAAGGAAATGTTTTGCATTTATAAAAGGTTATGTTGATGTGATTTATGAGGGTGAGGTCAGTTGTCCTTGCACATACATTCCTAAATGCTATAAGGCAATAGTGGTAATTGAAGGTCAAAAGTTACTACACTTTATAACAAATATACGATGATGGCGCACATTCAATTTCCTATTGAAAAACCACAGCATAGTAAATGCCCATACCCATACGCATATTGAATATTGATTCGACACTGGTGTATAGCTAAGGCAGTACCTACAACCCATTTCTCAACCTCTGCTCACAGTTATGAGACGTCGAACGGTATCGCCGTCGAGGACTCTGGCATTCAGTACCCGGGAGCCGAGCCCGAGACCGGCAACCAGGTCAAGTCCGGCAGCTTCGAGTTCAAGCACCCGGACGGCACCATCACCTACCTCTCCTACATCTCTGACGAGGACGGCTACCGGCCCGAGAGTGACGCCATCCCCACCTTCAACGGACGGGTGGACATCCAGGACGCCTACCAGTAAATACCAGGAACACAGTCGAAAAGAAAACGACAACTTTTTAGAAGATCCATCGCCAGCCTGGAATTGGCAAGACAATTGTGAATATTTTGGCTTTGATCAGTCTGATGACAAAAATGTGACCAAAATCATGTCTGCGTGAAATAAGCACCATCCATCAATGCCAGTGTTTCTATTCGTTCAAAATGATGTCGGTCATTCTCATCATTTAGTCCCTCAAACCTACCCACATTCCTGTGTCTCGGCCGTTTGTACCAGTATCACCTGTATCAGCTATCCTGTGAAATGGTTTGCTCTGTGAAATGATTGTGATTTACCGTTTTGTGCATATTTTACCTTGTGTTTATAATATACCGTGTAACTGTACACTGCCATTTATATCAGTCATTTTATTTCTCGAACTTCAGCTGGCGAATTTTATTGGATTAGGAGTGATGGGAAGGGGAATAACGGACGGGCAAACGGACTAAGGCAACCTGTTTTGAAATGACTCATCAAAGAACAAGCTTGTCGCTTTTTATTTTGCAAGATCGCTTTCAATACTAGTCCACTGGTTATGACAAAAGATCATAACCAGTGAGCCAGTGACAGAAACAGGTCGAGCTTCGAGGTTTTGAACATTCTTTTGAAAAATATTACGACTAAATGAAACTCAACCGGCTACGTCTTTGCTTAACCGCTTGAATTTGTCCCTATGTTAAATTTCTTACTTTATTGAAAGAACAGACCCCGCGAAGACGAATATGCCCCGAACGCTCATAGTTGCTTGGCAACGGAACTCCAGCATGCTGAAATTACCTTGACACACAATAACTATATACATCAGTATGCACTAGATGCCTAACAACTTTGAAACATGAGCTGGTTGATAGTAATAACAACAGAGAGCATCAGAAGCTATCAAACAGTTCATAACCAGTGCCATATTTGTGCAAACAGCTTGTGCGCAGCACGAAGTGTTCAAAGTCGTTTATGTATTTGCATATATGTGACCTTTGAATGCTTCAATACATCCTCCATCATACAGCGCATTACCAGCCGCCGGTAAATATCTACTCCGTGTCAGTAAATATTATTACCCGATCTTTTCAACCACAGCAGCGTCCGTTAAAGCTCGCCACACCTCTGCCGCTAGACGTGCCACCTGAACCTCTCATCCTACTCGGCTCGGATGTGAACCCTTCCAGAGAACACGGGAATGGCCTCTCCCTCGGCCCTGAACCCTTTCTCATCGGCCACACACAAAGAAATATTGACACCGTTAGCGGTGTAATTGCACAGTACATATCTGAGCACTTGAGGCAGGTTAACTTAGTCCCTTCCCCGCTTAAATTACTCGCATTGGCTTCTAAATGAACACCAAGAAGAAGGTAATAGAACACTGTTAGGAGGGTTGGGTGTTTTACTACACCATGATATAACGTTAACGGTGTTAAATTACCCTGAAGCTCTTTTTAAAAGTATGCTATTACCCTTTCGCTACCCCGTTTACGCGGTTAAAAACACCCTAGAAGACCTTTTCAACAAATAGTACATATCTGAGCAGTTGAAGGAGGTTTTTTACACCCATGGTATATCTACGAAAACACTCTTCATCTACTAAAAATATACTTCTACGATTCTATTAATACAACGATTTTACTTTTATAAACCATATTATAGGTATTAAAACACGTGCATATTAAAATAATACCGTTGACTAATCTTAATATTTCAGGATACATAACATCCGTAGCTTCCTGCAAATGTCCAAACAAAGTGCCTCAACGAATGCAAGACATGTTTATTCGCATTTTTGAAACACTGGTGTCGTAAGCCAAGTATAACGAAATCGAAAATCACTATTTACGGCTAAGTTAGCACTTTTGCATCTCGCGATGCACAAGCTCAAGGTTTGATTGTTTCGCAAAATAAGACATCCGCTAATAAACACAAAACAATTTGTCACCTATTGTAGGAGTTAGAACAGAACGCAGAACAAGTGGAACAGAACATGTGTCTTCGAATGCCTTAAACAAAGGGTACACCAAAAACTTAAGCAGCAGCAACGCGTGAAACACACTCAATGACGTGGAAACATCCAACACCCGATACATAATCAAATCAAATTCTACTGTCTCAGTGATCCCCTAACTCGCTAATCCAAAGTAATTTCCTGCGCATAATGACTCGCACTGCGGCACTGGTGTAGTCAACCTATACGAAACAGGAAATCACCATGGTGCTACTGCAAACAAAGATCTTGTTATCATGACAACGGCCTTTAAGAAGTGCAGCACAGCTTTTGAAAGTTTTCAGAAAATTCAGGTTTGCTTTTTCAACAGAAAAAAACTCTAACCAAGTGCGTCCGCATTATTGTCCCTTATGAGATTATTGTCCTGTATCAATCACTTCGACGCCGTCTCGTTGGAGTTCGCCACTGTTTGGCTGGCCGTGATCACAACAGCTCATAAGTCCACGAAGCTGTCCCACAGCTTTGGCTGACTCTGAAACAAGCCAGAAGACCCGCGCTCATTTAACGATCCTTCATGTAATGCCTATTTAGGTACTTTGATCAGTCATTCGATACTTGATTCGCAATTTACTTTCATATACCCTCCGGAAATAAAAACACGGTCTTGACAGGTATTAAGCCTATTCCGGGCGGGGGTATTCAGCTCATACTTGGTGACTTTTCCTAAATGTTAATTACGCAAATTTCAGCAAAAAATGCCGTTTCAGGTCAGGTCAGGTCACCAGAGCGGGTTTTTTGACCCCACCTCAGAAACGTTTGCAATCACGTCAGAGCTGGAGTTTTTCACGGATCGATTTCCTCTCTTCAGGTCATGATTACAGTACCAGTATGTGTAATTTTTATATATAAGAATTTGAATATCTGTGACCTGAGGTCAGGCCAGAGTCGTGATCTTTACATTACAAGTCTATGTGAAAATACTGAAATGCGTCCTGCTTTGAGTAAACGAGTCAAAACCATCGGATTCTTTCAGGATTATGACAGATTATCTGATCTGTAATGACTCAGATGCCATTTACTGACAGGGATACTGGGAAGGGTCATCCGAGGTCATGTGACGTCATCAATGGTTTTTAGCTAATAAATCACGATATGAATGGTGCTAAAGACTTGTAAATGTACCAAACTGTTTGCCTGCAGTTATGACGCGTTGATTGGTATCCAGCGACCATTGTGATCTTCTTTGGCCAAATTTTAAAGTTGACCTATTAAGGTCATGCAAGTGTAGCGTGTACTCAACGGGAAAGAAAGCAAGAACCTAGACCAAGATACAATAACGAGAATGAGATTTAGCGAAAACAAACAGACAGTCCCGAAACAGAGAACCAAGGGCCCTAACGCAGCGAGCCGGCCGCAGACCGCGTTCGCCCGACTCCGCGCTCCCGCTCATTCTACTCGCCGCCGCGCGGCGCACCCCGTCCGCCCGACCGCCCGGTCACGTGAGCAGTGGGCGGCCTCAGGCGGTAGCCGTTCACCGGTCGGCCGGCCGGTGGATCACCAGCCGGCCGCGCGCGACACTAACACTACACAAGTTGAAGTACCTGTTTCAAACATTTTATTTTTGATGACCTCTGGTGACCTCAATATTGACCGGACCTAAAAAATATATATATCAAAGTTGTGGGTCTTTCAACAAACTATCAAACGCCGTTTACCGTTTGTCGCTCCGATTAGTGGTTTTTGAGATCTGAAGGGGGTCGAAAAGGCCCCCGCCCGATTCCGAGCCTTCCAGAGCCCTCCCGGAGTAGGGTTATAACTTACCTTCGCGACAGGCGCACTCAGAAAAAGCTCCTGCAACCGGACGCATCGAAACAGTCTAGCCTCCTCCACGTTTCCGCCTCAGTCATCCTGTTACTGCTGTATCTGCAGTCTGCAGTCACGCCATTCCACTTCTATTCTCCACTTAATCTCCACGATATGCACCGCACAATTCGATAAACACCACTGATTCTTCATGATCTGAGCACTGCCAATACGCTCCACGCCTCAGCCGACCAGACTGAGAAAAATGGCGGCGAACGCGGACGCGCATTCGTCCTTTTGCGCATGCGCGAAAGGAAACCCCCGTAAGCTACTTAGAGAACACCTCCACGGATATTTTACACCTTTAAGAAGTAACGGGCGTCTGTTAGAAGTATTTACAAGGTAATTGTAGGTCTCAAGGTGCAAACGTACCGCTTTGATGTCGTTTTAATGCCTTCTTCGGTGTACATAAACTGATCCCATTTTTTATAGTCTAGATATACTTTTTGTACCTCAACGGTGTTTGATAAACTAACCAGCTTCATTTCTACTTCGATAAAAAAAGAAGGGATGTGTTATGGAAGCGTACGATCATTCTTTTGAACATACCACTCACTTTAAATAGTGCATTCGGCGTAATTGTAGTCTCTGTACAATATTCATGAAATACTTTGGTGTAAAATAAACCAGCTCGGTGTTAATATTTTTTTTTTGTGTGCACGTAGGTGATGAACGTGTAGCGGCCGTCTGGATGGGCGAACTCGTAGCCTCCCAGTCGCGTCAGGGTGCCCGTCTCAGGCTCGGGGCCTGCCGTGAACACTCCCGTGTCTTCGATGGTGATTTCGTTCGACCGACACTGAGGAAAATGAAATTGGCACGGTCAATGATAACGATACAGGAAGTACTAGGGGTCACATGTTTGATGCATGGCTTGGTTTTTATCAACCTGGATGATCGAGCTTATTGACAAAATGATATTGAATGAATACTTCCAACCTCACTTAATCCGTATCGTCTAAGGCTGCTCAAAACTCAAGGGATTATGAGATTCTATATCATTCTATTGATTTATATCAGATATATAAATATATTATTCTAGGCTGCTTAGTGCTTAATTCCTGTGGCAAACGCCTTGTCCCTTTTAGACTAGATTAACATTTCACGAAGCCGAAAATAGTTTTTGGTACGCTCTATAAAAAAAGAACCATTAAGATCACGCTCGCTCGCAATGTAATAACAAACGGAGCACTCACAATGTTTCCCAAGAGCCATCTTCAGCCTGTTCATGCTCGTACACATTTATTTTCGCACCTCTTTCGTCTTGAGGTTGAGCCAGGACCGCAGCCGCGGCCCAAACAACAAGTACCTGGCAAATCATGTCAAGGGCAGTGATCGTACACCGGCGCCACAGGTATTAAAGCGATGGGGCTGAAGCCGAAAACTAATTAACCTAAAGATTATACTGGCCATAGATAACATGTATCATGTTGATAACATGAACATGAATCGTGATAACATGAATCCTGTTATCTGTGTACCTAATGGCGTATCGAAATTACTCATATCACCAGTTGTGTGGATTCAATTCAATTATAATTCTTTTTTTTCTGAGTTGAACAGATGTTCAACCATTTCATCGAGGTACAATGTGCTACCATGTTCAATTGGAAAGCCAGACGTTGGGCATTTAACAAGTGGAAGAAGCGAGCTAAGGTATTTAGTGTAGTATTTCGACAGCAGTTCATCTCCGTAGCAAACAAACCACGAATCTGGATCACTCTGTGTCGAGGTCACGAGAAGCAATGGAATCGCAAATGAGCTTCATTATGAAACGCTACGCATCATTTAAAACAATGCATGCAGAACCAGTAAGGCTAGACAGGCTGCACGATCCCATCAGCCTCGGGAGCCGCACCCGTCTTAGATGTGAACACAGCTTAGCGACAGCTCGGTGAGGTCGAGAAGTGATCTCGGTTCATATCGCTGGCATGCCTGTCTAGTGTCTTGCCATTTCAGCCTTCAGGGTCACTTTAGCAGCCTTGCCTCAGCAATGGCAGAGGCGGAACACACGTTCTTCCAACGTTCAAAAAAACGTCTTTCAACTTACCGGCCTCATGTTCGCTGTCTTCTCTGTGAAGCCGTACAAGTAATCCCAGCTTTTGTAGCGACTGAGTAGTACATGGCGCTGACGTAACTTGCTACAACTCAGAAATACCGATGGGGAATTATGAACGATATGATGAATCCAATGATACCTAAGCAAGCATTCTTGTTCATTAATCCTTGCATGATTCCGCAACAAATAGCTCTAAGCCGATAAAGATGCTTCTGCGAGGGTTGAATTAAAACAAAATGTCTTAGTTTTGTTTTTAATGAGCCTGTACCAACAAATTTCAAATCAAACTTGCCAGGAACAAATTCAAGCAACAAGTCCTCAAAGACAGGTAAAGGCATGCCCCTTCTAAGATCTACACACTGATCGGAAAAGCGATAAATGACAGCACACTGAGAGCTTTTTTGATTCCTTTTAAGCATATTAGGGGAATTGGTCTAAAACAACACCCTGATCATTTCTCCGAATATACCCCAAATACACTTTCTTTGAATATCGCTCTGAAATTCTTCTAATATACCCTACACTGACAACCTTTTTGATTCCTTTTAAGCATATTAGGGGTTTTTGTCTTAAACAACACCCTGATCATTTCTTCGAATATACCCCAACTACACCCTTGTTCTTTAACCTTCGCCCCAGTGGGGGGCAGACTTGTAAACGACTCTGAGTTGATTCGTGAATCGACTCAGAATCAAACCGTTTTTCGATGAGTCATGAGTTGATTCGAATCACTTCATCGAGGAACTTGATGAGTCATGAGTTGATTCGAATCAATTAAATTTAACATCATGAGTCATTTGATGAATCGATTCAAATTTTCAGACTCAAACAAAGAATCGACTCAAAAAAAATTTGAGTCGTTTACAAGTCACCATCAACACCCTAATAATCAATGCTAGATCACCCCCTCAGCTTTAGCCATCACTTAACTCCATATTTCAGACTTACAAGAGCCTCAGAGGCTCAGGCACAGGCGCCTAATGAGCCAAAAGCATTTGGCAGTTGGTAGGCACTTACCAAACCAAGTGCCTGCTACATTACCTAGGTACCTACATTTTACATGTCAGAAGTCAGAATTGACACCTGCGGCTGCCTCCCCTTCTCCCAGTCCCAATTTGGTCCCAATAATCAATCAACAGCATAAGAGTTTGGGCGTCTATAGAGTCAAATACGCCCAAACTACCTATAGCCTATAAACTACCTATAGGCTATGCTATAATATAAATAAACTCACCTATAAACCGCAAAATTGCGATGCTCAACTGCCAATAAACCACAAAATGCACATTTTTCCATGAAATAGAAGTTTAAAAAGAAACTTGTTTTATGACATCATAGAATCTTCAGAATAATGTAAAGGAGCGGCTTTGAAATATTTCCTCAGCGATCTCCATTCGCCTAAAATATGTACTATGAGTGACGTCATGAATTCGAGAATAGAATGTGAAAGTCATAGTATGTTTTAAGAAAACTACATTAATGGCGCAGTTGATAACTTTCACGTCTGAATCTCAATAAATATGAAGTCAACGAGTAATTTTGTTGAAAAATAGAAATATACGATGACAAATAAAAAATTGAAAATATTTTTTATTTGATGCATAGGAAGAAAGAACAATTTATTTTTACCAAAAGAGCCACTTGGTCAGTGCTCCGGTGCTCTTGATATCGATTTATATTCAATGACGTCATTTTTAATCTAAAATTGTAGACTAACAATATTTTTTTTTATATTCCTTCATTTTAATCTCCACGTTGAGCCAACATAAATGGTAAGTGACGGATGGGCTCTATCCTTGGGCTCTATCTAGCTGGCAGCCAGTTCAAGTTGGCACTGCTAAACTAGGTGCCGTTTGGAGAATGTATATTGTATACCTTTAACTACTTTCAATGAGTCTCAACTCAAGATCATATCTGATTCTGAGGCCTGAGCCACTCATGCAAGGTCATGGCCTCCTCGTGGCCCATGGAGTCCCTGCTGATGCTGAAATGTTTCACAGGTGGGATTGATCCTATTTTTGAGGTTGTACTGTTTGAATAATTTTATCTGATAAGTAAGAAGTAGTAACATTTGTCTCATTATCATGTAGAACAAGTTTGATTAAAAAAAACATGAATGCCTCTCGGAACTTGTGCTTTTGAATTTTCAAATAAGACTTTCTAGGTAACAATAAGAGATAGGTTACTATGCTACTCCTTAGTCCTTACTTACCAGTATAACGCCTTTTGGGGCGACTAACGGAGCGAGCGAGAGGGTGGGCCTTGCACGTGCGAAATTGCGAGGGGGTACCTCCAACTGACTTGTGCACGGCATCCTACTAACCGGTCTCTAGCGATGTGCCAAATTTGGGCACACTCGGCCCAGCCGTTCTCGAGATCTGGAAGCGGCACCCTGCACGTGCGCACGTGCAAAATGGGTCCCAACTGACTTGTGCACGGCACCCTACTAACCGGTCCCTAACTGTGTACCAAATTTGAGCGCAATCGGTCGAGCCGTTCTCGAGATCTGGAAACGACCCCTGCACGTGCGCACGTGCAGCAGCACCCCAACTCTGGCACATGGATATGCAGTGCCTAGTGGGTGCCTACCTACATGCCAACTTTCAGCGCAATCGGCCAAGTAGTTACCGAGATATTGCAACAATTACAAAACTGACACCTCTTCGTTTTGCACGTGGCACGTGCATAAGGGGTCACCCACATGCATCGGGAATAGTCCAATACTTGGTAGAAGGAATGAAGCTACCCTACAAAATTTACCGTATGTAAATCGGTCAAGTGGTTGCTGAGATATAAGCCTCGCAAAAGCGTCCGCATGGCCGGCCGGCCGGCCGGCCGGCCGCTCATACTCAGAAATTTCCGTTAATCTAAGGAAAGACTACGCTCGCTTCGCTCGCTCCGTAATAATTGTCTCTCAGAGTTACTTACAAATTTATCTGACATTGCACTGTTGACTGTTGAGTGTTGAAGATAGGTAGGTGTAAGGTAGGTACCTATGTACCTAGTCCTACTAGGTAGCTGCTTGAATCTTTGGTCAAGGCTACTATGCTGCTTAATACAATTGTGGTATGCGGCATATTCATTTTATCATAGCTTTGAGTCAAATAATCAACAAATGCCTATAGTGAGTCATAGGTTGAATGAAATAAGTTCAATAAAAATGTCGTGTGAGTCATGAGTTGATTTGAATCGATTCATCAAAATGTGTGAGTCATGAGTTGATTCGAATCATTCCGTTGGCTAGTTGCTCGAGTCATGAGTTGATTCGAATCATTTCATCGAGGAACTTGATGAGTCATGAGTTGATTCGAATCAATTAAATTTAACATCATGAGTCGTTTGATGAATCGATTCAAATTTCCAGACTCAAACAAAGAATCGACTCAAAAAAAAATTTGAGTCGTTTACAAGTCTGGTGGGGGGGGGGGCATATGTTACCACCCTGTCGCGTTTTTTGCGTGTGAATAAAAAATCGCGGCGCGTAGCGCCGCGCCGCTTGGGATAGCTTTTGGTACATCAATTTTGGACATTGTGTGAAATTTTTGACCCCAGGTCATGTCAGGTCAGGTCACCAGGTCAAGTTAACTGACCAAGCCTAAAAAAGTTTGCAATCATGTCCAGCCTGCAGTGTTTGTCAGAAAGGTTTTAAACTTGGTGGATTGCATGCTGTTATGGGTGCCTACAATTTGTATATCTCGGATTTTTTATATCCGTGACCTAAGGTCAGGTCAGTGGCGTGACCTTTCCATTACAAGTCAATGGAGAAAAATGAAAATGCCTCTAGATCCGTGTGTACGCATAGGAACAGTCCAAATATTTCAGAATCACAATGATTCAGACCACTCGTGATGACCAGGGTGTCATTTTTGCTGATAGCCTCTAGAAAGGTCATCCGAGGTCATTTGAGGCTACAAACAGTTTCTTTGCCAATAACTCGCGATTGGAAAGAGATAGAACGCTGGGGATGGTCTCATTGTGTTTGTCTTGTTGAGACGCATCGACTGATATGCAACATGACCTATTCCGGTCAGGCCATGACCTTGACCTGAGGTCAAATTTTCAAGTTGACCTTCCAAGGTCAAATTATAGTTCATTCGACGCGTCTCGGCAAGGGGAACACGATTCTGGCAATAGAAATGTCGTGGCTTTTTGTAGTCGAAAGTTATTGTCGAAAAACACTTTTCGTAAAAACAGCTATTTTTTAGTTTTTGCCCTCTGGAGGCTAAACCGTTGACCTGAGGTCAATATTGATCATGACTTTATCAAAAGAAGAGTTCAAAAGCTATCGATTGCTTTTCCATGCGTTTTTCTAGCTACCATAGTTCCTGAGATATCGGCATGTTTTCTGAGAAATATTATGACAACTGGCAAATTTTGACCTTTGATGACCTCTGGTGACCCCAATATTGCTCTAAGGTGAAAAATGACCGAAATACTTTCAAACGTACGCATTGAGAGCTATCGACTGCTTTTTACCGCGTCTTTCTAACCCTCTTAGTTTTTGAGTTAGAGGTGGGTGGTAATATATGCCCCCCCCCCCCACCCACTAGGGCGAAGTTGGCTGAGACCGCCACTGGGGCGCGGGTTAAATAGCTCCCTTGAATTCTTCTAATATACCCTAGTAAGTACCGAAGTGGAAAGGAATATGATTCCTGTTCTATTCCCTGCGATACCCACAGTACACTCCTTTTAATCTACCAAAATACCCTTACATCGAAACCTCTAGTATTCCTTCTAAGCGTATAAGGGGAATATTTTGCAAACTATACTTGCATTATACCACTTAACACTCCCGTATTATTCTGTGATTTCCATCACTGATCTCAATGTATTCTTGCATTAGACCCCACATAAACCCAGAAGGGAAAATAATAATGCCCTAGGTATATATATATATTCGTCGTAGAACTTGCTCAGAAACTGTCTCATTACTCTCAACTCCCTCGTCCGATTTCACTTTATATATCGTAACACATCCAAAACTCACAGACATTTGGTCTTTTATTATTATTCATGTTTTACATTGGTACGACAACAGCATGGACATAGCTTCACCGTTTCTCTTCCGATAAGACGCAACTTGGGATAAGTAAATCTGAGATCATCATGAATGGATATTTAATATCTATTTCGGTTATAAAACACGAAAATCAACGGTGGTTTCAGCAACGCAAAAATGGCGTGCATGTTAAATAACTGTTCATTACCAAAGAGATGTCATTAGAGCATTGTATATCCTGTAACAATTGCTGACTTTCACCTAGCAGCTTACACGACACATTTTTACAAGACAAAACTTATATGCAGGACCCTGTAAAAGGGATAATAGGACCAGATACTGCGCACTGCTCGGGTCCGGGCGCTGACCGTAAAATAGTCATGCAGATCTACACCGGGTGCGGGCAAACACGCCCACCAAGGGTCTCTTGGGTGAATTTTCCGGTTTCCGGCACGCCGAAAAGTCGTTGTCGTGCAGGTTTAATCTTTTCTGGGTTCCACAGCTGTGCTTTCGACGTCCTCCACGACGTCCTTTGCTCGAATGATCAATGAACACACTACACACCCGCTATCACCCGCGCTGAGCACAACCGTCCTTAACTCCACTGCACGCTCAAACTCAACTGGCGCGCTCAAACCCTTTGAAAATTGGTAAATATTTACTTTAGGTCCGCAATATTATTTTAACAAGAAAAAAATGCACATTCTTACACTATTTGAAGTCCTGAATTCAGATATGATGCTTAAATGCATAAAAAATGTAAAATAAGATACCAAAACCCCAGCACATTACACCGCACTGCTGCACAATACACACTGAAGAAAGTACGCTTCCGCGACAAAAACGAAACATACAACGCTGCCCTATAAAAGAAAAAAATGATGTGGATATTCATTAGTTTTCGACGTTATGAAAATGACGTCATAATACCAAAACACAAGAAAAAACGGTGAATAAAAAAGAGAAAATATTTAGCAAAGGTAATGGAGCATGAGAAAATGATCAGAACATAACCAAACCTTACCTAACCTGACCTACTGATGTTTGCCTACTGAGGGAAAAGGAAAAAGTGACTTGCATGAATAGATTGCAAGCAATGGTAAGTCAAATATTTTTAGGTTAAGTGGTTATGCATCAGGCTTCAGGCCTTCGGCCTGAAGCCAGATACACAACCACTTAACCTAAAAATATTTGACTTACCATTGCCTGTAATCTCTCCTAAGGCATTGCCTTCGGCACTGCACCGCTCCGCCACGATTATTTTGACGTCACTTTCCTTACAATTTATTATCATCCGTAATTTCGCTCAACCTTGGTTGGACCATTTGTAGCGGGTGCGCCGCGCAGACGGTCTTTTGACACGTGCAGTTCCGGTCGGAGGTGGGGCCGTTGGTGGTGATGCTGGTGATACTAGTGTACTGGTGCTTTTAAATTGGTTTCTAGAAGGAATAGGTATCAGAAATGAAATCAGGAGGTCTTAGAGTATCGTGTGAATGACTTTTATTTACCCCTCTGTTTTGCGGACCTAAAGTAAATAAATACCTGAAAATTGGCGCGCTTTCGGCCCAGCTGTCTGATCACGTGTCATGTACGTCACTGCCGGCACTGGATTGCAGTATGCTGATTGGGTGGCGGTTGCGAATCACCTGGCTCAAACGCATTTGCGCCGCGACTGGTTATAGCTGCCCATACCGCGCGTCAAAACAAGCTTATAGCTGCCTGTTATGTCGTCGCACCGCCCACACGCACTCAGCGAAGACGGCACCGCGTTTGGTGCTGTATTAGTGGTCAGCAACACGTCCAGGGAGCGACTGCCCGTCCTCCCCGCCCGCCCGGCCGGCCAGTCCCTGCCCGCCGACCGGTCACCGCCGGAGGCGCCGAGCGGCACAGGTACGGTATCTGACAGTAGCGGCAGAGACTGTTCACTAGGGTATATTAGAAGAATTCAAGGGAGGTATTTAAAGAATGAGGGTATAGTTTGGGTATGTTCGAAGAAAATGATCAGGGTGTTGTTTTAGACCAAAACCCCTGATAGGCTTAAAAGGAATCATTTGAGGAATCATTTGAGTATCTTAAGGGCATTCCGCCAGGAAAACGGCAGAGTTATAGGAGCATGACACACCATGATCAAAGGGAATAGAGAATCGTTTTGGTTGTCAGTGCAGGCTGATGCTTTTACGCCAAAATGCCTAATTTATAACCCAGCTGACGGAGTTGATGAGCTGAGTGCTGACGGCTGCGGTCTGATCCGCCCAATCACAGACTGGCCCTCCACCACCGGGCTGGCTGGCGTCTGCCTCCCTGGCTGGGACGGGGTCACCGGCAAGGACAAAGGGGGCTGCCGAGTGCACGCCGCCCGCCGCTCAGCGCGTATAAAAGGCCGGCGACGCGCACACACGTCACTGCTCAATCGACAGCCGACCGAATCACCATGAAGCTCGTAAGTGGTCGGAGCTGGAGGAAACTTGGAACTCTGGAGTCGAGATACGACTCTCGGTGCTGGAAAATGTGCTAATTTCATCGCAAGTTTCAGTGCATCGTTCTGACAAGAAGCCGCTTTTTTGTTAGTTATTATTGCTAATAACCTGCGATTTTCGCGGGTCGCCGGCGGGCTGTTCTTTCTGAAGCGTCCCAAAGTCCTGGAGGCACGGCTCCAACATAGAGCTCTGTTCTGATGCGTTCGTTTCTATTCTGTTTCAGCTGATCGTGCTGTGCCTCGCCGCCGTGGCTCTGGCCCGGCCCCAGAGTGAGAGGGATGCCACCATCGTCGACTACGTGAACGAGCACCGCGAGGACAACTCCTACGACTTCAGGTGAGCCAAGTCAGATGGTATAACATCTTTCATTCGAATAATGTTTCAGGAGCTCCTACCATCCGCAGTTGTAAGTGATCATTCATCCTCAAAATTAGTTTTGAACTGAAATAGCTAAACCGGAATCCCTGGCTTGCAATTACCGGTTTGGGTACTCACAAGTCCAGGGCTGCGGAGTCGGAGTCGGAGTCTGAGTCGGAGTCGGTCGGAGTCGACAGTTGTGACCGGAGTCGGAGTCGGAGTCGGAGTCGATTTTAGAAACCCGAGCCGGAGTCGGAGTCGGAGTCACCGAAAATCTGTCGACTCCGCAGTCCTGCTAGGTCTGCGGAGTCGGAGTCGGGAGTTGGAGTCGGTCGGAGTCGACAATTCTGCCCGGAGTCGGAGTCGGAGTCGGAGCTGGTTTTTGAAAGCCGGAGTCGGAGTCGGAGTCGGAGTCGCCGAAAATCCATCGACTCCGCAGCCCTTCTCACAACATCGAGAAAGTCCTGAAATCGAAAAAGGTTAATTTCAAAGTCTGCAGCACTCGAATTCAAAGAGGCTAATGAATTTGAATGCCCACTCTGACTCTGTGACGTCGGCGCAGATCTAGCGATTTTAAATCTTATGCTAAAACCTTGGTAAAAGACAATTGCTGCTGTGGTGGCATATGCTGCCTTGCGAGCAACATTATTGCTGTTGCTTCCATTATTGCTTCCAAATGACATCATAGGAATAGTAGAGGCCCGATGATAAACAAAAATAAAAGACTAATATCTAAAAAAACATCGAATATTTTTTTTCGGTAAAATTTTGTAGATATTCATTTTTGCTCTTTCTGAACCATGGAACCACTTAACACTTTACGCCAATTCATTAACTTTTTGGAAGGTGAGAGGGTCTCTTTAACCCGCGCCCGGCTGGGGGTCCTGGATTTCCACGCCCTGCTGGGGGGGGTGTTTGAACACCCCCCCCCTTGTAACTCGGCTCCTGGACCACGTAGCGATACGCGGAAGGCGGCGTTCGAAAGAGCGTCAAAAATAATGACGAAATCGCTTCGGTCAATTTTTTGGTCAGGTCAAAGGTCAGGTCACCAGAGGTCATTGAAGGCAAAATTTCGCCGATTTCCAGGTCGAATATCGAAAATTTCCAAGAAGCCAACGCATAACTCGGGAACCAATAGAGCTACAGCGCCGCGGAAAAGCGCATTCGATAGCCCTATTAACGCCCTTTCTGAGTAATTCTCTCAGATTTGACCTAACGTCAACGGTTTTGCCTGCAGGGTGCAAAAACTGCAAAAATAGCCGATTTTTTCGGAAACAGTTTTTCGGCAATAACTTTTGACCCAAGCCTTGTACGAGCTTACTTTTACCGGCATCGTGTTCCTCTCATCAAGACGCATCGAATGAACTATAACTTGACCTTGAAAGGTCAACTTGAAAATTTGACCTCAGGTCAAGGTCATGACCTGACCGGAAAGGGTCATATTGCATATCAGTCGATCCGTATCGTCGATCTGAACACATCTAAGGCGTTTTCATCGCTCTAGCATGCCTCTATCAAAAGTTATTTGCGAAAAACTGTTAGATACCATTCGTGACCTAAGATGACCTCAGGGCATAAACAAAGGTCACGGACACCATTTTCATGTTCAGTGTGTCTAATATACTTGTAATTTGGTGTTTGGGAGTGTTTATAATGTCTTTTATCCAAAAGAGGCGCATTTCAATTTTCTCCCATTGACTTATAATGCCTAACCTAACCTAACCTAACCTAACCTAACCTAACCTAACCTAACCTAACCTAACCTAACCTAACCGGGAGATCGCAAAATTGACCTGACCTTAGGTCATCGATATCAAAATTCTGAGATATACATTTTGTACATTCTGTTGCTCTTAGCAATCGCTGAAAGTTTCAAAGCGATCGGTCACTCGGTGTAGCTATGACAGACATTGAAACTTTTTATGAGGTGAGGTCACTTCAAGTGACCTGGTGACCTGACCTTGAATGACCTTGGTCTGAAATTTTCACAACATGTGTAAAATTGATGTATGATAAGGTGTACCAAAAACGGCGGCGCTCCGCGCCGCCGTTTTTGAGATATTCGCGAAAAACCACAAGGGGGGGTGTTCAAACACCCCCCCCCCCCAGCAGGGCGCGGGTTAATCAATTGTCAGTATATTGTGCTAGATCGTAAACATATTCAACTGCAGCTAAATATTTCTGCAAGAAAATGCTGCGAAAAAAAAACAGAAACATGGCTCATATTTCAGTACTTGCTTTGGGCTGACTCTCATCTCCCTCTTCGCAGCCTGGAGACTTCCAACGGCATCATCCGCGAGGAGTCTGGCCTCTCTTACCCTGGCGCCGACTCCGAGACGGGCAGCTACACCCAGTCGGGCAGCTTCGAGTTCACCCACCCTGACGGCACCGTCACCTACCTGTCCTTCCTGGCCGATGAGAACGGCTACCAGCCCGAGAGCGACGCCCTCCCTGTCTTCACCGGACGCGTCGATATCCAGGACGCCTAAATCTTAGTCACCTTTGATGTGTTCAGTTCGATGTTCTTGCGCGCACCTGTTCTTGTTTTGAATTATTTGAGGAGCATGCAAGGCCCTTTGACAAAATCCATTGCATTCATCACCACCCGTTTCTGGCCAACTGATTTTTTTTCACACAATTTCCTAAAGTCTCATGTTTCTCTCAGCCTGCATCGCTTGATTGAGCCGTCTCATTATTGATGTCGGGCCTCCATCAGTAAATACCCATATTGTTGTGCTGTACTATGCTTGTATTCATGCAATACATTTGTCTTGTACGGTATTTTGTTTTTAATTTTCTATGCATTCGTATTTTTTTGTTGAAAGCTCAATGCTTGTTTCATTTCAATTCACGCCAATCAATGTCTTATCGATAGGCAATCAATATAAATGCGTGCTTGCTTTAATGTCATCAAAAATAACAGCCACATAGTTTGTTCGACGAGGCAGAAGGTTGTTTTGGTAGATGATGCCACTGAGCGACAATTTTATGGGGCAGCCTAAACTTAATGAGTAAGGTGAAACGCTGGTAGTGCAACTTTTATCTACAATCAGTCGAGTGTATTGCATTTGGCTTCCGAATTCGATGTAATGCTGCAGAGACCAAACAAAGGAAGCACAATTTTTGCGTTCTCTACAGTCGCGTTTAGATAACATTTTGGACGAGGCTGTAGCTCATTTATTTTGCGATAAGTTCGATCCAGTGATCTTTGTATATTTAGAGGGGGTTATAGTGTAAATTGTAAAGCACCATTGGCATCATTTGCAACATAACGGGCGGAGCTATAAGCTTGCAATAATTTCTATGTAAACGCAGCTTACCACAGACCATTTGTCGTCAGAAAATACAAGGGCACCGATCAAACAGCCTCAAAATTCATATGGAAATCATAATGCGCGAAATCAGCCCAAATATTTAACCCTCGCCCTGGCAGGGAGGGGGGTAGATGCGGCCCCCTAAGGTTTTTCAAAGATAGTGTAAAAACGGCGGCGCGCAGCGCCGCCAAATTTAATACAGCCTATAAAGCAACTGTTTGACATAATACCCGGAAATTTCAGGTCCGGATGGCCTTGGGTCAGGTCACCAGGTCAGAAAAACCGGTACAAGGTCATGGTCAAATTTCAATTTTCTTTATGCACCTGTCCAACTCACAGTTTTGGACCGATTTCCTTCCAACTTTCAGGACGAGCTAATTTCACTGAGTTTTATAACATATACTTCGTTTTTTATGTCACTGACCTGAGGTCAGTTAGAGGTCATTACATCGTAATGTTAAGTCTATGGGAAAATATTCAATTCGGAAAATACTGGAAATATCCGCTTCGTTCTATCACTTTTGTGTTTTGAAACCATAGTACTTAACCTTATGTCACTTGGTGCTTCTTTGTTTGGTGTACTTATCCATGGGTCAGGTCAAATGAGGTCAATTGAGGTCAAATGACGTTTGTGCCAATACCATGTCACATAATAAAGATACAGCTTTCACAATGGTATCATTCTGTTCCTCTTGAACAGCCGAGTCGAATGATATGCAACATTAAGCATTTTGACCATTCTTAAGACTTAAGTTGTACTTAAGATGTGCTTACCTTTTAAAGTACAGGTAAGCAAGCAAAAGTATATCATTCGACGCGCCTTGACGTGCTGAGTTCACTGGTGCTTTTGTGTTTACTCTAGCTTAATTAGATCAAAAGTTAGGTATATGCGAAAAAAACTTTTGACCTGTTCTTTAGCGAAATTTTTACATTTATAACCCAAAAACCCTAAATATTGACCTAGAGCAATTAACACTATCTTGCCACTATCTACATTTGCACAAGGGCGAGAATTCCAGGGTTCTCACCTACCTACCAAATTTGGTGTTTCTAGGTGCCATAGGAGCCAATCGCTAGGGGGGTCGCATCAGCCCCCCCCCCTGCCAGGCCGTGTTATGAAAAATGCCCTGCCAGGGCGAGGGTTATCTTGTCAGACAACAAGCTATTTTGATCTTCAAATCAGAAAAAGAAATAAAAAACAGCAGGTAAAGCCAGAGTGACAGTCTAAGTTTCCTTAAGATAAATATCGGCCGTTAATTATCCACGACAGTTTCTGTCCTCATTTCTGTAACACAGTGATCAAGCTATTTTCGTACCGAAAGCTTTGTGTGTCTAAATATACATTTGACTTGTTATTGTTATCATTTATCCTATCGGCCGTTAACTTTTTGAGGTATGGGCGTGTCAACACAAAATATACCCGTTTCTGGCAAGTTTGACCCCGACCTCATTTCACCTTGAAGATATTGACCTAACATCATAAAATGAACACACATTAGGCGGCACCAGGCACCAGTTAACGACCAACAGTTCACACTAGCCGTTTTCACGACGGGCTATCCGGCGAATGCACCTAATTTGACCAAATCTGCACCTTATCTCTTTTACAGCAAATATCTTCATTTTATAAATTTATTTCAGTGTTTTAATCGATAATGCTCTCTGATAATATGACAAAGTAGGCATATAAAAGTGCAACCCTAGCTGATAGCTACTAAGAGACACACTGAACCTAATTTGACCAAATCTGCACCTAATCTGCACCAGATGTGCACCAAATGCGTACCAGATGGCTGTCGTGAAAACGGCTATTATCTTGCCTTTCACCTAAGGCTGCAAAAAAAAAGTAATGGCTTAGGCTCGCAAAACCCTAATTTTTACAGACTAAACGTTCTTTCTCAAAAGCTTGGTAAGCTCACGCATTGCCCTTGTTGACCTTTGTTTGAAGCAAAACTTTTTGGGTCCATCGTGTGCCACGAGACTCTCGTGTGGCGATAATGATAGGCCAAACATTTCTAATATGGCATGTGTATCTGGCGGGGGATGGGGGCGCTGCTTGACCCCGCCAGTCATGTGCGAGGAGGATTAAGTATAAGGGCTTAGAGAAGAATTATCCGAGGACATGATACTCGTCGGCAGAGCTTCTTTGATGGCAGACAGATTAACTTTGGAAGGCCACTCTTTGAAACTTAGGCAAGGTTAGGATGAATCACTTCATATTGGGGCCTAAGCTACCTTTTTCTACACATTACACTGAATATCTCCGAAGTTTTGGAAGCCCCTAATATTTCTTTTCACATTATTCACTTGAGATAATAGACGGCGAAAACGGCCACTATCAGAGGAAGAGTAGCATGATTATCGTTCCGTCAAAGAAAAGCATTATCGTTCCGTCAAGAAAAGTTCTTGCAGCTCATCTGCTAAAATGCTGTTTGGAAATGAAATGTATTTGATGAACAATATCGGACAGCGATGTACAGAATGCTTGTAAGTATGTTGATTGTTGAGTCAACAGGGAGCAATCTTACGTTGGAACAACACACCCATGACGGTGCAGTATATGAAAAAGAAGCGACTGAAGCGCACAGCCTGAGTGCCAGCCATGACACACGGTGACAGAAAACTGAAGATTATGATAGACATAGTGGCTCCTGATCGTTTATTGCTGATTCAGTTCACAGCTGCAGAAACATCACAATTGCTTATCGTACAGATGCGTCGCCGTTACAGGTCTCATTTCACTGACGAATCACAATACGATATAATGAAGTAAAATAGCGAGTTTAGGCGTCCTGGATATCGACGCGGCCGGTGAAGACGGGGAGGGCGTCGCTCTCGGGCTGGTAGCCGTTCTCATCGGCCAGGAAGGACAGGTAGGTGACGGTACCGTCAGGGTGGGGGATCTCGAAGCTGCCCGACTGGGTGTAGCTGCCCGTCTCGGAGTCGGCGCCAGGGTAGGAAAGGCCAGACTCCTCGCGGATGATGCCGTTGGAAGTCTCCAGGCTGTGAAGAGGGAGATAACAATCAGCCCAAAGCAAGTATTGATCAACCATGTTTGTGTTTCTTGCTGTTTTGGCACCATTTATTGCATTAATGTCTAGTTGCAGTTGAATATGTTTACGATCTAACACAAAATACAGACAATTCATTAAACCGCGGATGGTAAGAACTCCTTAAACGCTATTCGAAACACTCAGATGCTTTTCAGCTGACTTGGCTCACCTGAAGTCGTAGGAGTTGTCCTCGCGGTGTTCGTTCACGTAGTCGACGATGGTGGCATCCCTCTCACTCTGGGGCCGGGCCAGAGCCACGGCGGCGAGGCACAGCACGATCAGCTGGGAAAGAAACATTGGCGTGGAGTCAAACAACGTCCCTCTAGCTACATACGCCTCGAACAAGGACCAGTTAACCCACGCCCGTAAACGGTGTTTTGCCACCTTCGCCCATGCAGGGGGGGGGGTTGGTGCGACCCCCCCCCTGGCGTTTGAAAACGGAGCGTCGTAGAGCTTAGCGGAAAAGACCAACGGATTGCTTTCAACGAGATCTCGCGATTGGTGGTATATTTTTGGTTCTAGGTCAACATTTGACCTACTTATGACCGGTCAAAGGTCAAATTTTCGGAAAAATCTAACTTTTTCAGATTTCCGCGCCGATTGCGGCAAAACTGTAAGAGATATCGACTTGAAACCTTCACTGTCGTGATCCTTGATCAATTCTCTATCGTTTGGTGTGTATTTCGATGTCATAACTCTAAAAATGATGCGTTGGGAGCATCGGAAGTCTGCAAGGTCATTTGTGCATTGGGTCACGTCAGGCGTGTGACGTCACTGACCTGACCCTGACCCAAAATGAACTACAAGAAACAACCGACGATGCCTGAAATGGATAGCAAATTCGAATTCAGGGCATCAAAATACCCCGAAAAGGCATACAAGTGCAAGAAGTCATTACAGGTCAACCGAGGTCACTGACCTTACCTTGACCTTTAGTAACCTTCAAAATGTCAACGGACATTGTGCAAATGTCAAATCAGCCAGTTGTGATTCTAAAACAATCCATCAGTGTGTCAGGTCAGTCGGCATTTATACCAATGTGAAGCAATCTCCAATTTAGCGTAAATCTGGCCGGAGGTTGTTCCCTTTATGACGTCATAACTCCGTGACCTGACATGACTTTGACAAAAAAAAATACCAAAAGTTGCGCAAAGGATGCCCCATAGGGTACTGAAAATTTGAGCACGCTATCTGAAACGGTTCGGCGTGTAGTTAAGAAAACCTCAGGGGGGGGGGGGGTTGCACCCCCCCCCCTACATGGGCGAGGGTTAAATGATCATGAAAAAGAACGATTGAATGCGGGTACGGAAAACGCTGGCTTTGTCATTTATTTCTTAGTTGAGCAAACAAACCTTGATTCACACTAAATGAAGATTTCTTTATCGAGCTTTGATATCATTAAGCTGCGCTTAGGCATTTCTTAAGGCGCTTGCTTTGTCTAGTCACGGGTCATAGTCAAACAATACAACGCTGATGGCTGTGACTTTCCCACATTAAAAACTCATGTCACGAAATTCATATTTGATATGAAATATGGATGGACCGGCCACTGGATACTGTGACAATATCTTCTTTCCCTGTAGTGCCTCCACACTTACGAGCTTCATGTCTGGATGAGAGATGTCACGATTGTGTGCTGGGGCTACTGCAGCTCCCCGCTTTTATAATGCATTAACGACTGACAACCCATACAATCGATTGCCGCGGCCTTGCGCGAGGATTCAGCTCCCATCTCGTTTTTTCTCCTCGACATCTCACCAAATGTAGACAATAGGAATGGATTTAAAGGCTATATTTTTAGCAATCCAGATTGGGATCTGATAGTGCTGACTGATTAGGGATTATTTATGCCTAATTATCCCGTCTTGCGTTGCTGGTAGCATAAAACTGGCGATTCGTCAGTAGTCCTGATGACATGTGATGATCTAGCAGGTGCTTTGTTTGCTTTGTGTGATAATTGCATTAAGTACGGATCGGTGAGCACGACATTCGATTAACCCGCAACCCGTCGAGAACCACGCCACATAGCGACAAGCGGCAAACGGCGTTGGACAACCCCATCAGAGAACTACCTTGTGACCCAATTTCATTGACCTAGGTCAAACCGATGACGTCACAGGTCAAGTCAAAGGACGAATTTTCACCGTTTATAGGCATTTCAAGAAATGTGTTGTAAAATCGAGTAAAATGCATTTCATTGAAAATCATCGATGGGGAAATGTTCGTCAAACACATATTTTGTTATTTGAGGTCACTGATACCAGGTCAGGTCACAGAGGTCAGGTCACTGAGGGTCACAATATGAAAATATCATGTGATGCATATTTTGTGGTCCATTTTATATGCCAAATACGATTATGTGGGTCAGGCAGCCTTTGGGGTCAGTTAAGATTATGTTCTGGGGAAGGTCAGGTCAAGGTCAGGTCAAGGTCAGGTCAAGGTCAGGTCAAGGTCAGGTCAAATTAGGTCAAGTTTCAAAGTTGATATTTTTGCATAAAATGGGTATCGAATCCATGCAGCTCGTCACGGGGAGTTCAATGGTGGTCTTTTTTGCGCTACGTGGTCTAGAATTGCTAAAAATTGAGTTCAAAAATTTGACGTCATCAATTTTGAACAGTTTTTTTCGCTATAACTTGGCCAAAAGAGGAGGTATCGATCTGAAATTTGGTTTATATATAGAAGATTGCAGGGACTATGACATCTTCCGGTTTTTTCGAAATTCGGAAAAATTTTGGGATTTTTTTTGCGTTTATCAAAAAATAAATTTTTTGAATTTTTAGGGGTCAAAAACCAACATTTTCAACATCCGAGATAGCAGTTTTGTAGCACCGCCTTTTGTCTACATGACCATATAAAGAACTTTGAAATTGCTTGGTAACTATAGATTTTGTGAGCGTTTCCAGATTTCATGTTTTTTGCTCATTTTTGCTCGAACATGACCTCAGTTTGACCTCAATAACTCCTGACCTAAGGTGACCTAAGACTTGAAATGTTGTGTGAAGGTGTCAAATTTATGTCCGGGAAGGTACTGAAAATTTGGCGGCGCTGCACGCCGCCGTTTTCTTGCCATTTAGGAAAAACCACAGGGGAGCAAATTACCCCCCCCCCCCAGCGGGGCGAGGGTTAACCCGCGAGGTGTTGGGGGGGGGAAGGCGCTAAACGCCCCCACTTTTTCGTAGTGCTATAGCTGGCGCGTCCAATTTTGAATACCTGTAGGGAATCAATTGAAATTTGTCGTGACGAACTTTCGAAAAAAATCGTTGGGAAAATTTCGAGTTATCGAGGTTTTAGTGACGTGATGATTTCTGACTTTTAGGCTAAAGACGGTATATGTTTAAAAATCATATAAAATCACAGAACAGGCGTAGCGATAGAGACATACCGTAAGCGCCATTAGACTGCTAATACCAAGAACAATGAAATGGCCATCTTCGATACTTTATTTATTATTCTGCGTTTCCCCAAAGCTTGAACTGAATCTTGGCAATTTCTCGTGACTTCTTCACGACTATAATGCATGTATTTCTTAAACTGATCTTTTTCGACCAAACACATACGCATGATTAAATGAACGTCACTATCATGTTCTATGCCTAAAAGTGCACATAAAATAAAACATCTGCATATGCTGCGAAGTGCTAATGCTCTTTTGATTTTCGGGGATATACCTTTTCTTACCGGATTGACTGAACCTTGACCCTGAGCTAAACTTGACTGACCTAACTATATATGAATCTAATCTAATACTCGTAGGGGAGAGTGGGGTAATTTGGCCGGTGGTGTAAATTGGCCGCCCCCACCTGTACGAAAGCTTATAAAAGTGAATGAAATAACTTTAGTCTCTATTCATTTGTCATCGGCAGAACTAACTCCAATGTTCTGACGAACATACTCCAACAAATGTCAAAACTTTCCCCCTCTTAGTTTTATTGAAAATTAATAAAACGTGAATTTCGTTAGAAAATGATAACTTTTACTTCCGTTTAAAAATTTGTATAACATGTAGTATTTGGGCTGTAAACGAATTCCAACATTATAGCGCCATTTTTGAGGGTGTTCAGCGGTTCCAAGAGCAATTTCATCTAGTTCTGTACAGCCATTACGACTTTATAGACAACAATTTTCAGAATGGCAATGTGGGGCTATTTGGCCGGGACTAGCGGGGCAACTTGGCCGGTTCGCTCAGAGTCACTATGCTGGGACGGCCAAGTTGTCATGGTCAATTATACCATAAAGGACATAATTCATGACCAACTTTGACTACCTTGATGCCATATTTCCTATTGGACAGCTGTAAGGGCATGTGACGTCATCAAAGGTTACCTAACGCTTTTTTGCTAATAAATACTTACAGAAAAAAGATACAGCCGCGCAAATGGTCTCATTGTATTCAGCTCGTCAAGGCGCATCGAATGATATGCATGATGACCTTGAACCCACGTAACCTTGAGGTCAAGCGACCTGAGGTAACGTGACCTGAAGCCAACCTTTGACCTTGACCTCTCGAGGTCAACACATACATGTTTCGATGCGGAATGACGAGAGAATTACGATGGTACTTTTAGTTTTGGCCTAGCTTGATTAATTCAAAAGCTATTCGTAAAAAACTGTCATCGCATCTAGAGTCGCTATTTTGACTATTTTCGACCCCTGTGACGGCTGAGTCAACCTCCAAAATGCTTCAAATGCGTCGTAGGACATGCGTAATTGCTGAATGTGAAGCTGACTCGCCGATAACAAAAATCATGGCCTCAAACTAACACCGGCCAAATTGCCCCACACCCCCGGCCAAATAACCCTGCTAGTGGGGCAATTTGGCCGCTTTGCAGACCTTTGTAATACGTCACAATTTCAATATAAGTAGTTACTCTATCATTTCAAGTTTACTGTCCGGGAAAGTAAAATGTATGCCACACCTGGCAGCGTTGAGAAAATGCAGAAATGTTTTGTCGATTTTTAGTTACATCGTTTTCTAAAAAAAAAAACGGCCAAATTACCCCACTCTCCCCTATAGCACTTATATGTAGGATTATTGTAGTAATAAATGGACAAGTATTGTATCGAGAGTACATGAACCTCCAGGCTCCACGAATCAAACTATTAAAACAGTTACATTAAAGGCGTACCGGTTTCTTCTATTGACTTCTTCAGCGCCGTTGTATAAAACAAGGAACAAGAAAACGAGCACAACATCAATCGTTCGAAATAAATCTCAGAAATACGTGCTATTTATTTCAAACGATTGATGTTGTGCTCGTTTTCTTGTTCCTTGTTTTATACAACGGCGCTGAAGAAGTCAATAGACGAAACCGGTACGCCTTTAATGTAACTGTTTTAATAGTTTGATTCGTGGAGCCTGGAGGTTCATGTACTCTCGATACATGTAGGATTATGCACAGTCTTGACAGAGTTTATGATGAGAGGTGCCCAGTACGAGGTTCTTTGCCCATGCAACTGAAATCGCAATTTCAGGTGTTTGATCTGACCTTGATCCGACCTGTGACCTAAAAATTTAACTTTGAAGTACCCATTCAAAGGGTGTCGCCGAGTTCTTTCGTTTCCCGCCTCGCGCACGTTGCGTTGCGCCTATTGGTTCTCGCGTTATCGGCTGGGACGTTTAACGCCCCCCCCCCCCCCACCACCAACTGGCGGGTGGCGAAATACCCCAGCAACTTCCGGGTTAAAATTGCATATGATACCAACAAACAATAGAAAACGCACTCATGAATATTTGAGAATAATGTATTAGCCTGTAGGCTCAGATGCATTCTGGAAATGGACTATAAAAAGAAAAAAAACTCGGTACATAAAAAAGAAACGTTTCAGGACATTCGATCAAGCGAGAGGTCCAAACAGTACCTCAGGCTGCAGATGCTTGATTATTTGGGGTGAATAGAAAAATGACTGATCAGCTTGGCATGCACGCCAACGCTGCATGAAGGAGACGAGACCTAACAACCCATGAATATTGGATAGGTAATCATATATGTACTATATACGGGCTCCCGTAGAACGTGATCTAGGCATGTATTTTAAACTTTGTTGAGATCAACACTGTGCCGTAAATATTTGATATCCTTGCTCAAGTCATTTCATTAGTATTCAGTAATCCAATTGATAATCAGTTTTTGGCACCGATAATTACACCATGGACATGAGCTTTTTGCAAATGAAGAGAACAGTGTTCAATAAAAACGAGCAGAGCTGCTGTTGTCGGTCGGTGTGGCTAAAAACGCCAAATGCTCCTGCCTGCTGGCCAATGCTATTCTATTTTATTTTGTGGGGTCTAACGACAGACGAATTATTGAAATTAGGGGAGGCCTTGGTCTGGGCCGGTACCCTAGTGCTCCGCCGGGCCTGAGCCCATCCAGTTGCAGTGGACAGACCACTCAGCCCCCTGGCAGCCACTGCACGGGGCCATGGGCCTGCTTTGGATGGAGCTACCCACGTCGGACAAAGGTGACTGCCAAGCCCGGAGCAAATGGTGCGAGGCGCGATTGAGAACAATTTTTCTGACCTGAGAATCTAAGAGAAAGCGAGGGAACGCTGGCCAATGTCTCTCGGGTCAATTTAGCAGCTCGTCTCAATCATCTCCGCTAGGGAGCGCTGGCGAAGCGCAGTTTCAGGGGATGCTCGCTCGGCGGCGCTAGGATCGCTCTTTCAGCGGTGATAGTGGTGA